CACTTTGTTTCTTGAAATATTTCTTATGAATTCTTCTTCTTGCAGTCTGTATCAGACAAACAATGACATGAAGAAAAATGGCTAAAATAATTGTTGCTATAGAGGTCAAAGCAGCCCTTCCAGGATTACTCCAATCGAGAACATCATAAATGTAACGATTTCCTTGCGCATCAACACCACCCGCAAAATAATAGATGACTGTGAATATCAAGTAAAGTATGCCCAAACCAACTGGCCAAATGAAATGTATGATATACATTGGATGGCAAGCAATTAGTAAATCGATTATCATTGCAGCAGAATTTCCACCATGAATCAAGATGTCCAATGCGTCTGTCCTACCTACAAAATATTACATTTTTACAAAATAAGACAAAATTTATTTAATCTTGATTTTACCATCAAAAAGCAAAGTCCAATAAACTATCGTTATAACAAGTGCTGACGTTACTGCTACATTTGACCAGAACCAGAGAAATTTGTATGATGTTGATTGAGACTCAAGTCTGTGAGGGTTTCTGTAGTAAAAAGTTGCCAAAATTGCGGCAAATGTTGTTGCCACTATACAGAAAATTAAGCCTAAATTGGTCAAATATATAAACCAAAAGGCAAAAGTTCCATTTCGTATCGCTCTAGTCCAACTGTATGCTAAAATTCCAATAAAAAAAGCTGCAAGAATCCATCGATAGAGTAAAAATAAAATGCTTCTATCATTGCGTTGCCATTGTGATTGGATGAAAACGATTGGATTTTCATGATAAAATCCTAAATTTAAATTGCACAATGATCCCTTAACTACCATTTTCTGACCGCCAAGGTTTGTTCCGCACTGTTTTGAGACCAAAATAAAACTGGCCAAAAAATTTAGATAAGATTGTCATAGCACTTAGGTAATATCTGTTATCAAAAACGTTTCACGTTCATTTGTTGTTTGCTTATCTGTCAACTTATCATGAACCTAATCATCATAAACGCGTATCAAAATATTGTTAATTTAACTGATTTGTATTGATAATATGATAAAAATGACAATATTTATTCAAGATTTTGAGATCTCTTTGATTTATTGTGTAAGATTTATTATTGATCATTATTTTAATCTTAATCTATGCAGGCACGTTTTATTAAAATTGCGTATGTTTTCAATCAATCATGCGATTCTTGTATCAGTGCGAAAATTTTTTATTGAAATTTTTTCATGAAAACTTTTTTTTATGGGATTTTTTCAAATCAGTGAAAAGTTTTGATTAAATTTCTACATTCCTAATTATAGATAGATCATGTTGCGATGATTTTTTAAATTTCCCGCGTTTTTAATTTGATTCCATTGTTGCGAATCGCATACATATTGCGAAACGCGTTTTGCTTGAAATCGTCAAGTCATTTTTATAAAAACAATATTTAGTTTCATCGATAACTACAACTTAAATACAAGAATTAAAATGTCACAAGCCAATGTTGTAAGCTATTTAAGTGAACAGAAACAAACCAGTGATAAAGAGCTGGCAAAAGAATGGGAAATTATGGAAGAGTTTTATAATGAGAAGTAAGATATTTATTACCTATTTAATTAATAAACTTTACTTAACGAGACATTTTTTCAATGAACATTTAACTATTTCAGACTCTGGAATGAGCTCACTATAAAGTTGAGTTCCTTTGTGAAGAATCCGAAGATCCAGAATGAGAAAGCTTTGATGCAGCTCTATTCAAATTTCATCAGTACTTTTGAGACAAAAATAAATCCTTTCGGTCTCGTCGAGATTCTCTCTGTAATAATTGCACATATGAAGGATAAGAAAGAAGCTATAGCGTTTATCGAAAAGCTTAAGGATAAAGTTAAAATATGTGATGAAGCAGTTTGGATGTGTAAAGTATTGCAGGGTCAAATTTATCTCGAATTTCTTGATGACAAAGAAGCCACTAAGAAGATCATCGAGGATTTGAAAGATATTTTAGAGGAAGCTGGCAACGTCACACCAGTCCATGGGAAATATTATTTGCTTGCATCTGCTTATTATCGTTTGATTGGACAACATGCAGACTACTATCGATGTTCACTTCAATTCCTTGGCTGTTCCATTGAATCTTTTCCTAAAAGTGAATGGCCAGATCAAGCATTCTTCCTTGGACTTGCTGCATTACTGGGAGAAGGCGTTTATAACATTGGGGAACTTCTTGCTCATCCAATTATTGATTCACTTCGTGGCACAGAGAACGAATGGCTTATTGAATTACTTCATGCATTCAATTCTGGCGATATTGCGAAATTCGAAGAAATGAAACCGATTTGGAGCTCAATCAATGATCTGAAAGTGCAAGAAGTAAAATTACGTCAGAAAATCTCCTTGTTGTGTCTCATGGAGATGACATTTAAACGTGCTGCCAACAACCGAACCATCACTTTCACAGAAATTGCTAATGAAACTCGTTTGCCTCTTAAAGAAGTTGAGCTTCTCATCATGAAAGCATTGGCTCAAGGCTTAGTTCGTGGAGCAATTGACCAAGTTGCAGGAGTTGTGAACATGACTTGGGTTCAACCTCGCGTTCTTAATCGCGATCAAGTGTCGAACATGGCTAAAACACTCGACACATGGATTCAATCGATCACAAGCATGGAACAGTTAATTGAGACTCGAGCTGCTGAAATATTAACGAACTAAGTGAATTGTCAATCTTATCATTGTTTGAAATAAAATAAACTTCTTTTCATTAATAAACTTAATAAACATTTGTCATGTTTAATTTTTATTTTTTGAAACATAAATTTAATTTTATGTTGTACGAAGATGAAGCAAAACTTGAAATTAAAACATGAGAATAAATTCGAAATTAAAATCAACAAACATCAGACTCAAATATTGAGACAACGCAATCGCTTCTCCTGAACTTTTGTAGTAAATTCAAAGTTGATAGGTCTACGTTGAGATTCGTGTAAGTCACGATTGATTCGTTGTGGTTGATTGCCCATCACAGATATTATGCAAACTTTTCGTTTTATTAATTCTTCTCTGACGAGCTTTTCAAGTCCGAAGAGATGTTCATCATGAACTCCAGGAATTTCTTCTCTCATAAAAATAGCTAATCTTAGTAAATACTCGACGTTATGTCCTGATGGACCAGATGAAGTAGAAATTTGTTCAGCTATCTTCTCTAGACTGTCCTCTCCCATCCAATAATCATTTGATGGAGTTGCAATGTAAAGAAGAACTGGAAAAGCTTCTCCAGAAAGCCCAGAAAACTCAGTCGCAACACGAGGATAGAACTTTGTGTAAGCTGTCATGTAACCTCCTAAATTGCATTCTCTTTGCTCTAAATATCTTAGAGCAAGGTCACCAGTAACTTTGTAAGCGCATCCCCAGCAAATTCCTTCTTTGTCTTCCACTAATGTTACCACGCGTCCAGGCTGAAAAAGATAAAAGAAAATTTCATTAATTTTATTATCATCAATTTCTTTCATCTTTATAATTGGAAGTTAAATTTAATTTATTAAGGGAAAAGGTTCTACAAAGTTAAATTTAAAGGTTATTAAAATACGCACATATTCAAATTAAGAATAAAAAATGCTGCTGTGTGATTGATTCATCAATGATAAACTAATTTACTAATTATATTCTAAATAGGTATTTATTATTCTAATTCAATTAGTAATGAACTTCAATCAAATGATGTGATTAATTAAGTGTTCAACCGTAAATTAGTTTTCGCTTACTTCATCAAACAACAATCACAGCAACATTCATTAATTAACATACAAATCTACTAACGTCGTCACATAACATAAATGAGGTGAAAAGAATTGTGAATTTGAATTTGTCTCGACAAGATTTGAATAAATTTAATAGAAAATCTAGTTTCAACCGACTCGCAAATGTGTGATAAGATTTTTTAAAAAAATTTATTTTCTTTATTCATAAGAACATTTTTTGATAGCGACCTTGATTATAAAAAGACTGCGATGATATTTAAAAGATATTTGATGCCAGACGAAGACTATCGCTGAGAATCTGTTACAGTGACGATGTTTATATTTTTGACAGATTATAGGGCAATGCTCAAAAACAAAGAATGATGATAATAATAATAATTTAAAAATATATTTTCTCCTCAAGGGTAAATAATGGAAGAAGGAAATCTTTTTATTACTTTAAGTTGTTTAAATATACATTTCATTGAGAGTAAGAGACGTTGCCCTCATTTTTATTATTTTCTTCCGCGCCTATTGAAAAATCCTTTTTTTCAGATAATTTTTTATTTATTAAAGTAGGTTGAAGTCAGACTGAAGATTATTAATTAATGTTTGTCAAAACAAATTCAAGATTTGAATTCTTGATTTTTCCAGTTTCTGTTCGTCTGGTGAACTGTTTTGTAACCTTGCTGACTTATTGAGTGTGATAGTTGATAACAACTTACGTACTTTCGCAAAAGACAACCTCGAATTTATTTTCTTAATCAGTTAATGGGCTTGAATCATTGAAGCTATAAAAGAGAAGACAGACATGATGTTTACGAGATTCTTCACAATTTTTTCTTTTCTCAGAATTGTCTTGCGATCAAAATTATTTTTTTTTTCAACTCACTAAGGCAACAATTATTTGTTGTTTTCGTATCTTTCATTTCCTTTGTTTAATGCGTTTCTTATCAACAATTGACCGTCTAGAAATGATCAAAAATTGATAAAAATTAAATCAACTTCCCTCATCAGACATTCAAAAATTTATCGCAAGCTAAATCGTGACAAAAAAAATCCAAAGCTTGCCAACTGTTTCACACGTGTTCGGCAATTTGCGCTTCGCTTTTATTTTAAATCTCAATCTTCATTAATCTGATGAAGCTTTCCAAGTAACAAAAATTTTCTCTCATCTAATGTGGCTGTTTGAAAATGTTTTCTATTCATTCTGCTCAAAGTTTTAATCTCACGGAAACATCTGCACTTCTGATAATCTAATTGTTTTAATTGTTCAATTATCGCATGCACTTTAATCGCTGATAAATACTCAGACGATCATAAATTCGTGTCACCATCATGACACATCACTTAGATTGCAATCAATTAATAATTTTCTAGAAAAATCGTCTGTTCGTTCAAAATGTTTAATTTCTATTATCTTCTTTCGCTTTTCGAGTCTTTTCTCGAAAGTTTCGTGTGAAGATCAGATGTTTCTTCTCGGTTATTGCTCCATCATATACAAAAACAGTTTTCTACAATAATTCTTTTATCAAGATTAATTCAAAAAAATTGACAATTCAATACTCAGCAATGCAATGCTGTTGACTTCGTTTTGACAAATTCATAACTTGCAATAAATTTTGAATTCATTGTAACTTAAGTAGTTCTAGATTTGTGTAAATAAAAAGAAACAATTCAAGTTTAATATTTACAATTCACACATCTACAAATGATCTATAAATAGCGGCTATAGACATTATCGATATTTTACTTGCAAACAATTACACTTAATATAGAAATTTCTAATGGATTTCCTTCATTGTAGCAAATAAAAGCGGGTCAATATACCGAATAAATTGCAAACACGTTAAATTAGTTTAATGCATGCAAAAACTAAGCAATGTTTAAGGAATAATTTTATTAAAAATATTCACCTGATCAAGAGTTCCACGATGCGTTACATTTCCCTGCCAAAATCTTCTGACATAGCCTCTGATATCTGTTTAAGAGAAATATTTTTAATTTTGCTGTTGGTCACAGATGACAAGGAACTTACATCCGGTAATACATTTGGAATACTCAAAACCAGGATTCCACACAAGTGATCCATAGCCAAAAACATAAATTGATGGTTCGTTGTTACTTATGCTATCATTATTATTATCACAGTCGTTGTTATCATTTGAATTATTAAATATGTTAAATGCAACTTCATCCATGTCTTGAATTTTATTTGATTGATGTTTCACTACAGTTTATTTAAGATTATCGTCACAAAGTCTAGTAAGCAGACTTTCCTACGAGTCTTCAATCTTTAGTCACAAAATCATATTGTTTTTCTGTAACAAATTATCTATTTCAACTTTTAGGCAGACAAACATTAATCAGAAATTTATGCTTTTAAAAAAATTGAATTTTTCCGAACTTTTCAAAATTTAGCCAATTCAAATTTGCTTGCTCAATTCACAAATGGTCGGAGAATTTACTTAAATAATTTTACTTTTCTTAAATTGCATCAAATCAAATGAACGGTTAGACTCCGACTGACAACATTCGAGTGATTTCTTCTCATTTTTCCTTATTGTGAAGTAAGTTGTGAGCAACACATTAAAACCGCTTCTCTCAGTTTTCTTTTCCACATTTAGTTATGATATTTATTGTTTACGTTGACTTGTGAGCAGAAAAAAAACACAAATTGCGGATTTTTTTTAATGATTGATGGAACGAGAGTAAAATTGAGAGTTTAATGAAACTGTTGAAGATCAGCGAATTATTTATGTGTGTCTGTAGGTAGCATGTTCGAAAGCAATAAGTAATACCTACAATGTTAACGTTTCAATCAATTTCTCGTGTGAACTTTAACTTATATGATTCTTATTTCATTGATCTGGATATTTTTGGGAACTTTCCATTCAAGAAATATTCTTTGTGCTCTTGAAAGTCTATGAAACAAATTACATATTTAGGAAATGAAAGACGAAGAAACATATTCAGTTCTAACTGTTTATGTCATTGAAAAAACGACCTTGAAACATTTATGTTACTAGATAATTTTAAACTGTTCACTCAGTCATGATTCGCACCAAAGAAATTTTTTTATCTTCACACTAAAAACGATAAATTTCATAAGATGACGTCGAAGTAAAGAGAAATTGCGTCATGTGTTTTGTCTGTCGGTTGATTTACTATCTAAAAATGAATTGTGATGAAAACTTACACGAAAGTTACCAGTCACTTCATACAAATGTTGCTTATGCTTTAATACTCATGTCTTCCGAAAACATGTTGTCACTTTCAATCTTTCTAATTTAATCTTTTTAAATTTCTGCGAAAAATTTTATATTTTTAATTTTTTAACGTGAAAATTGTACACTTTATCACTTAATAAATATTTTGTAAATATTATTGTTATTGTTATAAAACAGATAAAAATTTTACGACTCAGGAAAGTAACGTCGACTAGCTAAATAAATGTTAATTGTACTTCTGTAGTTTGAAAGAAAAAAAAAACGAAGCGAGAAGACATTCACGAGTTTGAGAGTCGAACTGAGAGAGAACAGCAGGAAGGAATTACTACAGTCGTATGTTTTATCGTGATGTTTCTTTCACCCATTATCAGTGCAATGGTCGCGTTATAACAAAGGAATTGCAAACAGCAGAACATGCCAAGATGTTTCACAATTTAGTTACACGTAAAATTAGTCCTTTTCCTACCTTTTTTCATTCATAATCTTTTTTTTCCCTAAAAATACACAAAATTGAGTATTTAATTTTATATTTACAAAGAGTCAACGTGAGACCTGCGCAGATAAGTAAAAAGGGAAAAAAATGAACTCAGACAACATTTAAAAATAAAAGCACGTTGTTCATTGTCACGCTCACTTTTTTTCTCTCCAATTTCTTTTTCTTTTTTATTGTTTGGATACACGAGAAACCGCTAGTTTGCCTTCTTTGCTGATGCAATAATTTGATGGATGGAATAAGTCAAAAATATTGACATTTAGAAGAAGACAAATTCGCTTCAATGTTTTTTTCTTCTTTTTTCGTTCAAAATTCATGTCGAACAATTAGGTACAGTCACAAATGTTGAGATTCACTAATTCTGATGTAATCTGAATTAAAATTTTTATAAATTAAGTTATTGGAAATTTGCAGACAATTCAGTAAGATCCTGAATGAAAAGTTAAGAATTTACAAAAGTGGGAAATATTTTGAATCAGGTTGGTGCAAATTGTTTTTATTGCTTTTCGTATTTCTTTATTGTGCAATGCATGATCAAATTTGATGCTTCAAAAGCATTTCTTACATTAAAATATTTTGCCAAAAGTTTATATTTAAGGTCTGAAATTTTTAATTGTGAATCAAAATTTTAAATTTATTTTTAATTTTCTTTTCTTTGTGTTTTTTTTTTAATT